ATAATATTGCTCCTTTCCGAATTTAACATATGACGAGAAACTTCAGTTCACGCAAACATTGCAATAATGTTTATTTGCAAATTGCAGGCACGTCTTATGGGCTACCGCCGGACGTAACAACATCAACAAGTAATCAGGAACTGCAAACCAGTCCAACAATTTCAGATCCACCGCATCCCCATCGACATCAACTCCCTGGGTCTGCATACAATCAACCCGGAATCCTCAGGTCCCACGGGATACCCAATACTCCGGGAACCATGAAAAAACGCGTCCAAATTCAAGAAATTTCAGTATGAGTGTTGTGTTTCTAGCTTCCATACAATATATATTTTATATTCTACAACTATAGAGAACTACATAAAAGAATATATTATTTAGGCAATTTGTACTTAATTAAGAGATAGCAAACTATTTAGTCCCAAATATTTTAAAATTCATGCTCTATTCATGTTATTTATCGATCCAAGTTCCTGCAAAACTCTGTCTGGTTTTGTACCCTACGTCGAGCTTAGGAATATTAATGACCCACAAATGTTTTCCGTTTAAAAAAAATCCAGTATTATCTCAAAATTTGACATAAATAGTAATTTGTTGAACTACTTTTTACTATTTAAACAAGTGCAGAAATCGAAATATTCGCTAAGAGGAGAATCTAGCTAAAGAATGTGTATGTTTCCCCATATTAATTTTTTGTTAAAACTTGATTGCCTTATATTTGTCTCAGTTGGACAAATTGAAATTATATTAATTGATGTACTATAAGAATATGAAAAATAACATTGTTCAAAATTTTTTGTGGCTCGTACTCGGAGTGCATGCAGCCTTCAAACCTTGACATAAAAAAATTTAAAAAAATCACGTTTTTAAATGGCACCTACTAACTTTTTTGATCCTGTTTAGTTTGGTTTCTTATTTCTTAATTTTTTTTTCATTCAATTCATTTTAATCAAATTTCAAGCTGGACCGCAAAAGTTGATTTTGAAAAACTTATTTTTTTACATGGGAATCATAAAAATAATTTGCATTGAACCCCTTTGGTCCATAGGGTTAAAGTTTAGTTACTTATTATGAATGAGCTGCTGATTGAAATGGAACCAAATTTACGAGTGTTCTATATCGGTCAGTGAAGATTTCAAGTTAAAATACAACAAAAGTCGCCAAACAATACTAAACATTACGCACCAAATAATCGATATCGAGATTTAGGAGAAAATGTGGTTCGAAATTAAATTTTAAAGGTAGAAAAACCGAGTTAAAAATATTTTTTTTGAAAATGAAACAAATCCCTATTGGGAAAACAGCACCGTTTTAGTTTATAATGTAATTCAGAGAAGAAAACACCAATAAATGCCACAAAGTACCTTCCAATGCAATAAAAAGTCTAGTGTACACAAAAACTACACTTGGTTTTCATATTTGCCGTTACGTTCGTTTTAAAAGAAGAAACTGAAATACCACAGTGCAGAATCCAGATAATTGCTCATCGTTCCTCGTAACAAAAATATTACTTTCGCTGATATAATAAAATACCAAAAACTTACCGAAAGCTGCATGGTGTCAACTGGAAAACAAAAAAAGGTGTTTAGTGTACAGCAAGTATTTTTTTTACTACTAACCTGAATTGCGGCAAAATAGTCATATGAAAATATTAAATTGACGATATTTCAAAAACTAAACACTTTTGGAATATATAACAAACTATACACAAACTTACCCTTATTTTTAATGCTGAATAAGACAAAATTATCAAAAATGGGGGTTTTAGGGGAGACTGTTGTACGTTATTACGTTTTTCAATTTGTTTGCATGGTCGGGTGGGCTTTCCAATTGCGAGTTTGAGTCACCCGAGTTTTTGATATATTTCGTTTTTATACATAAAAATGTCAAGACAGGTGTTTACGGATCACGCCATATCAAATGAACGGTTTTAAATGTGAAAGCCACTTTTGGTGGGTAGTTAGCTGAAAACCCCATCTGAGTTAAACTCCCCTTTTGAGTTTAAGGTGTCCATTTTGTCGCATGTGGATGCATGCAGCCTACAAACATTGATATAAAAAGGCGAAATATCAGTTTTTCCTAAACGACACCTACAAACTTTTTGGTCCTGTACTTTCGCCACTGTTTTCGATGGCGAAAGCGTCATCCATTACAAATTCTCTTCATCCCGTGTGGAAAGTAATAACTTTGGCCACGCACGCTGCCAGCTTGACTTTATCAGCTAACTGTTTTGATAACATTTCCAGAGTTTTTTTTCAAAACCTTATACTTTTCCCGGCAAATTTCCACCGAGGATTAAGAAAAATAGTATGCGGTAGGGGAGACGAAAGTCGAAGGCCCACCGCTGGGTGCGACTTCAAGCAGTGGCAGAACTTCGATTTTCGTCTCTTGTAACGTAATATACTATTTTCCACATTTTTGTATGTCAATGTTTGCACCTATATGCTACGAAATGGGTACCCTAATATCATCTGGGAAATTACCTAGGGCTTTCAGCTAACTACTTTAGCACATTTAGGTTTAAAATTTTAAACCGTTCGTTTGATATAACTTATTCCGTAAACACCTATGACGCCATTTTATGTATAAAATTGACTTGTCTCAATAACTATTTGAGATAAGTTAACAAAACTAGGGTGGCTCAAACTCGCAATTGGACGGCCAATCCAACGTATGCATTTAAAATAGGTAGGAAAGTTGGGTTATACTTTTCATACACCTTGTACAACTGAAGGGCTAAGTGTACTTTACATGGTTTCGACTGGACTCGTTATTACCGGAAACAAAATTTGAAGTTTCCGCAACTGTAAGTTGGAACACTTCTACTCCACGGTCAACGTAAATCACCCTGTATATTTAATCACGAAAAAATTTAAATGTTTTAAAATATTTGGGAAGATCTATTACCTATAGAAAAAAATTATGACTTAGACAAAACTTATCTACATTTATCTTACATTTTAATAACTTTTTGTTCATGAATTAATTATTCCTCGTTCTATTAAAAACTGAAATGTCTTCACATTCGTTTTAAATACGAAATAAGTCACTTTTTCATTTATTATCATATAATTATATTATATGATGATTTAGACGAACGGTTAATTCAGATTTTGTACCTGCTTAGTATCAGTCAGCTTCCTACATATTTAGTCTGTACAAATAAGTTAATAACTAAATCATATCTGTATGGGTGATTTTATGCGTTTCCAGATATAGAGAAACAAGTGACAACATACTGTGGAATTTATGTGTACTGTGATGGTTTTGGTATTTGTTCAAACTATATTTTACTTTTAAATAGTAATGTTAGTTAAGTTTGATAAAAGGTTCCTTTATTGTGCAGCTCTAGATAATTGATAAAATGTCTTTATGTGATGTGATAATTTTTACTGAAACAATTTATATCATATAAATCGAAATGGGTTCGTATATAAAAACGGTTTTATATTTGTTATGTCATAAATTCGTGCCATATTTTGATTTATTTTCAAATGTAATGTTTTATGTGGTATATAAGTAAAAGGTCTGTTATACGTGGCTTCTGAAGCTCAGGAATTGCTGTAATACTCATTATAATCAACATTTTAGTTTTCAAATACTACGCATAAAATCAGGGTTCAACTATATATGACATTTCAAATTTATTATTTTAATGAAACGAATAGGCAGAAATGAAAATACTTCGTATTAGTTAATGGTTTGCAAATTAACATAATTAATAGATCTATATGCATTATTTACCCCTAAAAGGAGCATATATGCAAATAATATGGAGACAGTATCAAAAATTTCATTCTCATTAAAAGTGGGCAGTCGACTTATATTGCCGTCACAGAATTCTTAGCATAAATAAAAAGGGTAGTTTTAAATCAAACTTGACTCGTCATTAACTGTTTAAAAAGCCTGTTGTCTTACCATAAATTAATACATACACACAGAAAGAAATTCTTAAGAACATGAGCAAGACTACAACATGTAAGTGTTGTTCTAAGAACCAGCGATTCCATATTCATTTTATTCAAAGCAACTCTAGTTCTGCGTGAGGTAATGAAACAAAAAATGTTTGTGTTGCGTTTTTAATTATAAACTCATATACAATTACTTAGTACGGATAAAATGTGAATAGTAAAAGGCTTGTTGATAGCAACACACGGTTAGATACTGACATATAAACTTTAATATTGCAGGAAGCTTTTCCAAAGCAATTTCAAGCAAAGGGAATTCGAAAAATTGAATTGTAAATGGCTTTGATTCATATTAGTTTTAGTTACAAGTAAATTATTTAGACATTCTTACAGAAAACTTGCGCGAATTTCCAGGTGAACTACATTCAGATCTAAAGTTTCTATGATTTCAGAATTATTTTGCAACAGTTGTATTCCTGAAGTAAAGAACTTGAACCCAACATTAATACTAGAACTAAATTGTCAACAAGTATTATTTTGAATTGTGTGAATAGAAAAAAAAAATTATGTTTTTGTGTATTAAAATTATCGCACTGTAAATAGTCGGAGTATCTTACATTTGATGTAGAAAAACTGAGTCATTGCCTCGATTAACATCTCCAAAATTTATTATGAGTTTATAATGTTTTTATAATGTTGTAGAACTGATCAATTAAAGTACGGCTTAATTTTATTAACAATCAAATGTGTGTAAATTTTTATGAGCAGAAAAACCACAATATTTTTATTCTCAAAAACTGTAGTGGATAATGAAAAAAACAGGCGTGTGAAAAATTTTCAGTGAATTAAGCATTTCGATGTTTTATAAATATATAATTTAAATCAATTCAAAATATGTTTTATTGCCACAGAAAAAAAACACAAATTTTATAGACAAAACGAGTGAAAAACAAAATACTACAAGATAAGACATACAGTACAGTCAACAATGGTAAAAAATATAAAAATTTCTAACAATACAATAGATAGATATAATTTATTAAGTTTTGAGGCAAAGCTTTGAGGCATTCAATCTTGTTTACGCATTTTTATATTTGTCAAATATGAATTGAACAAATAGCACTTTAGGTTGGCAAATAAACTTGCACAAAATTCCAGAAGCCTTACAAAATCATGATCTACGAAAAGAGCTAAAATCATTTTCAATACATAACCGATCTACATATTCAACTCTTTAAAACTATAACCATGTAATTAATTATTTACAGCTCTTAGAAGACTTAAATGTAATATCTCCAAGTTAGAGCACATGGCATTTTTCTCCTTGTTGATTCTAAAACATTTCTCTAATACGCGTTCTGCGTAGTACTGAATGAATCAACGCAAGAACATTGGAAATTATTAGACCGCCTATGAATGAAATATAATTTGTAACAGAAATTACATTGATTCACTGATAAATTGTGTATTGT